GTATATGGTTTCCAGTTCTTTACCTCTCTGTGCTAAATTCTAAGTAAATTTTTAGAGATATATTCCAGTTTGTTACTTCTTCTTTTAGCTTACACTAATCTGCTTTTTGTCTCCCTATTTAATCATACACGTTACATTTTAGAAGTTCTATTTGGTTCTTCTTCAAATGTCTGTCCTTTAAAAATAAAATAGGGTCATGTTCCTTGCACATTGTTTTAATTCCCTTCTTTAACTATAAGAATATTTAGATATGTCTGATTTACATTCTGTGTTTGACAACTTTACTATTTGAAGTCCTGGGGTCTAATCTGCCCTTGGTCGTTTGTTCTGACTCATTGATACTGGCTATTGTCTTGTGAGTTCTGTTGCTTTGATTTCTGAGTTCCTATCAGCTGGGATTTACCAACAGAAAACCTGAACACTCTGAACTGATGCGTTATTCCTGAAGAGTTATAGATCCTTCTCCCAGACCCCTGAGGCCAGCTCACATGAACTCGTAACTGTTGCTGATCACACAGGTAGTGGGGGCCTGAGGGCCCATCTCACCTGGGAGCAGGATGCAGATTTTCAAGGGAGATTTTTTTCTGTTTTCAAGGCCAACCCTAGATAGACAAGAGATCTTCTCATTGTTCTTTCCTGATAGCGAATCCCCTTTGTGTTGTCCAGTCTATCAGTGATGAGCAAAGAAATCACGTTTTAATTTCTGCTCTTCCTGAGTCCTGAACCCTAGACTGTTGGTTTCTTCGTGACCATCAAACCTCAGAGGTCTAGTATCAGGGATCAGTAAATAGCCTCAGGGCAGCAACTACTTTGGACGATGAGAAAAATCAATGAAATGATTTGAATAATGAAGAAATAAAATATTCCAGTCAATCGTGATTTATTAATACTAATTACCTAAGTTAAGAATGTGTGTGTGTGCACGTATTTGGGAAATTCTTTGGATATGAATTTCTTCCTTTTTGTTGTGTCAAGGATTCCATTGATAATTTTGTATTCAACTGGTGACACTCAAAAGATTCAAAGACTTTAAAAATAACCATTGTTTTCAAGGTCAGATCAAATTGGAGGCCGTCATTCTTCATTCCGTTTATTAGACCTAGGTAGCTTGTCTTGGCAAAACTTGGACTAAAAATGCCTTTTTGTAGACAGGGAGTTAGAATATCATTCAGAACTCATTTTTGACTGTCAAAACCAAAATTATTTGCAGGCCATAGATATACACAGCCTTGTAGGCTGACACCTAACTTAACTGTTAAATCACCTAAAAGATTATCTTGTCTTTTTTTTTTTTTTTTTAATGTGAATTCAGGAGCACAAAGCTATTTAAAATTCCTCCTCTAGAGGAGTTTATTAGGAGTATTATATTTCTTTGGCAGTCCCAGATGGAACTAGCTCAATATTTTATCATTCTATATTTTTAAAGCTACTTTGGGTTATTTTTTGAAAAGTTAGATTGAAACCTGGGAGATAGAAGCTGCACTGTGTATATGGCGTGTGAATTTCACCAGGGACACACAGCTCAAATAGTTCTTTCATGCCCTCCTGGTATCTAGGTAAACCACAGTGCTGGGTCCTAACACGCAATTGTGTAAGTGGTTAGTGGGTGGAGACACAGTTAGGTAGAGTGTGCTTTTACCTACTACTCTGCATATTTAAATAGGCACAAACAGATCTTGCTTTCACATGTAAGTTTTGGAGTGTCCCAGAGGGCAGAAGGAAAAAAGAAGAAAAAAGATTCATTGGACCATTAAAAATAGTCTATAGTCCAGCCCAACTGTGGGGAAAGGCCATTACTGAAGCATAGCTCAGGGAATTTTACGAAACCGAGGCTGATAGATAGTGAAGGCTTGAACACATTCTGAATTCTGAAATCAAAGAAATTAGTGGACAAAGGATAGCAGTGATAACTACCACTTAGGGTTCTTACTATACATGAGAACTATAACGAGGACTTAAACACTGTCCCGATTCTCTGAGGATTCATTTATCAGGTGTTTAAACCATGGCACTTTACCCAGAGGACACCTTTTGAAGTTCAGTTCTGATATTTGCTCGGTTCTTCAAATGAGGGATCTGACACCGCATTGCATCCACTTGCCCAAGATCACATAATCTTGAAAGTCCCGAGTGTATGAAAGCCCAGACATGCCAGGCAGATTGCAGAGACCGTGCTCTATAGCAACCTCTCCATTAGATTCTCAACTAACTGCTACTATTTTATCTCCCCCTGTCATATCCATCCCACTGGAAAGAGGGGAAAATTAAAGTCAAAATGAAGTAACATGCACAACATTACTCGCGAGTAACAGTATCAAGATTAAAGCTGGCGAATCAGTTTCTAGACTCGGTGACATTTCCACTCTAGTATTCTGCCTCCTTGACAGTATTTTTCACGTATTCATTCATTTCTTCATTTACTTTACAAGTGTTTGTTGAGCATCTTCTACTGTGCTTTCTTCTGGGCTCTGGGAACACAACAGTGAACAAGAAAGCCCAAATTCCAAAGTTTGCATTCTGGTGGGGAGAGACAGGTGATAAGCGAGTAAACCAATAAGTGAAGTGTTAGTAGAGGCAATGATGAAAAACGCCTTGCAAGAGACCAGGAAATGATGGGAAGATGCGCGTATTTAAGTTTTTTAGGTAAGATGGTTCGTGTAAGGAAAAATATCTAACTGCCAGTGGTCATTTGATGGTGCTGGCACTTTCTATTGCAAGTACCTTGACTTCTCGGCTTATATGACCTGGCCTTGAAACTGAATCCGAGTTTTATATGATTTTTCCGGTATATGTTTGACTTAAAACCTACCATGTCAGTGCAGGAAAGGTTTTCTGCTGGTTTTATTTCATAATTCTGGCTGAGTGATTATTTGAAGAGAAAAAATGGGTGATTGTTTTCTTTATAAGTATTCCTCCAAATTAGTTAGCTTAATAAGGTGAACAAATGTTTGGACTTACTAGGAGACCGTGGGTTGCCAAAAATTAAGGGAAAGAATTGCTCTTCTCTTCGTCATTTATACTTGATGCAGGTTATAAGTTCTTAGAGTCAATCTGACGATAAAAGCAGGAGGAATGTCAAAAACTAATTGGCTGATTTTAATTGAACACTTATATTACAGAGTGTATGATGGTAAGATGTGTTCAACTTGTTTGTGCTTTCCTTGAAAAAGCTGAAACTCTTCTTCCCAGTAGTAATTAAAAATAAACAGCACTCATTAACTTACCGTTGGTTTCTAATGGCCACAGCACTGCTTTCGTGCATGAATGATTTACTGATCTTCAGCAAAGCAATTCAACACTGAAATTATCTTGAAAATTTAAAACCATTCTAGATAATGAATATTTCAATTTCTATAGCACCAATTTATGTTTAGTTTTGCTTCTTTATGTATCCTCCTGCACATATACGACTCACTAACAAAAATGGTCTGAGAGGGAGTCTCCCTCAAAGAACTGTGTGCAAAGCTCCGTTTCTGGGCTCGACTCTGTAGACTTGGGGGTGACATTCATTCATTCAATTATCCAACCAACATTCATTGAAAGCTTTTTTGACAAGACATTTTTCCAAAGGCTTTGAGGAATCAAAAGAAGAAAAATGAACAGTCTCTGCCCCCCTAAGAATTTATTATAGAATTGGGGTAATATTTTATTCTAATTCTGTCCCTTTAATTTAACTGGTTGTATCATAATTGATTTAACCAATCTTGTGCTCTTGGATATTTAGAATGGATATATATGTATGTATGTACATATGTATATATGTATTTATACACACACACACACACATTGCTATAAAAGGTCTGTGTTGGTTTATTATCCCTCATAATAAATGTTTGTTCATACTTCTGATTATTTATTTGAACCTCTACCAGTAGAACAACTAGGTCAAAGGGGTGAACATTTTAGCCTAATTAATAAATTTGAAAAAGTCAGGCAACATAGGAAAAATGGTGGCCACCTTCTCCACTGCCACCAATGCTGGGCCCTGGCCTGTCCTTAGTCATTGTCCTCCTGAGGACACCACGTGCTGCTCTAGATGTGAGTCCCTGGCCTCTGATCTTCCAATAGTCTTCAGAATGGTTAGACCTCTTCTCGTTTCCAAGGGTCCTGTCCAAACCCAAATAGCGCTGGTGAAAACTTGTACACTGACATCAGTAGTTTGCATCTAACATGAGACCACTGAGGTTTTTCCTTGCTTATGCATCCTGAGTTTTAGAGAATTAGGAGGTCATGAGAGTGCTGTCAGGTGGTTCAAGAAGTGTCTTTGACTAAGAAAAATGAAGATTACCACTGGCCAAGAGTTGAATATTGACTTAAAAGCAAATGTTAAGGGAGAAAACTAGATTAGTATTTTTTTAGGGCTTATTTAATTTCATAAAAACATATCTAGGATATTGTGAATTAAATTATGTAGCAAAACATGACATTTGGTGCTAGTGCATTTAAAACAATATGTTTTACTGATTTTTTTTTTTTTTAAGAGAGAGAGAGAAAGGGAGAGTGAGAGAGAGAGAAACATCGATTGGCTACCTACCCTAACTGGGGACCGAACCCGCAACCTGGGTATGTGCCCCAACCTAGAAACAAACCAGTGACTCCTCCGTACATGGGGTGATGTTCACCCAACTGAGCAACACCAGGCAGGGCAGTGATTTTATTTAAGTGCAAAATTCCTACCTATAGAAATGTGGAGGGAAAAAAAAGGTAGTGTAGAAGGTTTCAGAATCCTAACCACATGCTACTGAAATGGAAGTTTTGATATAGACTTAAGTGCAAAATTCCTACCTATAGAAATGTGGAGGGAAAAAAAGGTAGTGTAGATGGTTTCAGAATCCTAACCACATGCTACTGAAATAGAAGTTTTGATATAGACTCAGGCGTTAGCTATGATGATCTGTTGGATCTTTACAACAGCAGTTTTGCCTTCCTAATTTTGTATGCCTAGGTGTTGGCTCCCTTTTTTTTTTTCTAAACTCACGGGTTATGCTGCTTCTTCCTAGAACCATGGGACACAAAAACCGCTACGTCAAGGTACCTCGTGGTCATATCTGGGTTGAAGGTGATCATCATGGACACAGTTTCGACAGTAATTCTTTTGGGCCGGTAAGTCACCTCGTTGCTGCTGTCACTGGATGTCACAGGTAGGAACAGAAGTGTGTCAGACCGCTCGCTCAAGAAATCCAGCCAAGGCTGCTCGTGAACCTCACGGTGGCACCGTTTATGTCTGAAGATTTTCGTTTGAGTGTCATAGACCCGTCATCTCAGCCATCAAGGGCGTGTGTGTGTTTCATAGAGAACACAAGCCCTTCGTGAAGTATGAAAAGATGCTTTCGACTGATTGGCTGATCCCAATGGGAAAGCCCCCCCCCCCCAGAAATGCTTTGAGCCTTATGTTTTCAGTGAGTGTTTAACAGAATGTGTGAAAGACCTACAGCGCTCAGTTTTCTATATCGTTTAGTAAAAATGTGAGTATTGTGGACATCCCATTGGTAAGCAGCAGTTTGTCACCATTAAATTTATAGCAGAAAGACGGATGTTCCTTCTGCCATGTTTAGAGTACATATAGTATGTGACTAAACAGATCTTACACATGTAGATTTTTTTTCATTTTGAATCCGTACAGAGATTCTCTACTTATGAGACCCTACAATTACTCATTATATAAAGTGAAGAGACTGTTAGTTAATGGGATTTGCACCTGATTTCTGGTTACCTGTGTTTGTTTAAAAAGGTGGATCTTTGCCCATTAGATTTTCCTAAAGCGATTCATATCTATACTTAATATGTATGTGTAAGTCAACATTGAACACCTTCGAATAGGTTTGCAAAAATATGTGCTCCCATAGTCTTGTCTAAAACTGAATGCTGGTGGTGTTTATATGACCATCTCTTCGCTTATTGTGAGGGATCACATTATTGACAACTTCGGCTAAAAGTATAATTATAGAGATGCAGTTGGATTGGAATTATAGGTAAGTGGAAAATCTTTAGGAGACTGCTCCTACTTTTTTTTTCTAGTTGCAATGATGATGAAAAGGTCTAAAGTTTTTCTTGCTTTGGAATAGGAATTGTTACAAAATTGCAATTTAATCTTTGTGGGGTGTCCCAAAGCTGGGATGGACAGGTTGGAAAGGTTGTAGGGTACCATTAGGACAAGTTCAGTGACAACTCGACAGGGAAAATAAATCACCTAAAAGCCTGTTACTTCTCTCTCCTCAATAAGATTAAATCTATTTCATATGTCGTGTGTTGAACCAAGTCTACATGAAGATGTTAGTTAGCTTTAGTTTGGGTGTCGATTGGTTTTCATTTTTAGTAACTCTGAAACGGAGTGTTGGAAATGATTGTGTTGTTATCAGTTGTGGGGTGTATGGCAAAAGTTTGAGATTGGTTTGCTTTTTCTTTATTAATAAATTAGTCAGTGCAACATTGTTTATATTACTGAGTTGTGGTCCACATCTTTCTTGCTGGGAGAGAGAGGGATGGAGCTCAGTTGCTCATGACCTTTGGCGTATCCAATCCATGGGGCCCCTCTTCCTAGGTTTTTGTGTTTTTGTTTTTTTTAATCATTGAACTATGAGTTTACCTAGCAGATTGCACCAGGTGTGAAAATAATCCTGTTACTTGCAAAAAAAAGAGAGAGAGAGGGCAAGAACCATGTGTGAAGGGCAATTTTATTGTGTTAATTACAATAAAAACTACAGTGTGCTAAACATTGACAAATATAGTATTGTACCACTTTATTTCCATTTGGATTATGTAATGCTTTTAAAGGAAATCTACTTTTTAATTATAACTTGAACCAGTGCCTTGGCCAGTTTGGCTCAGCAGTTAGAGCATCAGCCTGCGGACCAGAGAGTCCAGGGTTTGGTTCCTGCTAAGGGCATGTACCTCAGTTGCAGTTTGTCCCAGGCCCTGGTTGGGGTTGTGTGGGTGGCAACCAGTCGATGTGTCTCTCTCACAACGATGTTTCTCTCTCTCTCTCTCCCTCCTACTCTATGTGAAGATAAATGCAAAAATGTCCTCAGGTGAGGATAAAAAAAATTTGTAACTTGAACCTGTGATATGAATCTGAGGCACAAAACTACTTTGAAATTTAGTGATTCTTTTCTTCCTTTTTAAGTGGATATATATATCCATGGGTCAGACTATGCTATCAATTTTCATTCACTTAACTACTATTTGGAGGGGGGTGGTCAAAATTAGATGAGGAAACTTTTTTTAGGATTAAGGAAAACATTTGTTATACATGTATTAACCTGTTCATGTTTGATGAGTTATCAGTACATAATTTTACTTTAATCATGAGTCCTCTTGTTCTGTGTTTCAACAGTATTTATGCCTAGGAAAAAAAAATATTGATATTCAATATTAATATTGATATTCCCCAACAAGTTTTAAAAGGACAGAGGTAAGGCGGGGGAGTGAAGTCAAGTCCCACAATCCTCATTGAATACTAATCTATGATGTTTGAGTACAGAGAATTCTTACTGCATTTTTGATTAATGAATGGTTATCTGAATAATTTGCTAATTATTTTGCAATTCTTATAACTCTACAAAATAAAAATACAGCTTTATTAATCTAAAATTCAAAAATAATCTTGAATTTTAAAATGCATATAGACTTGAGAATTATTATATTTTCCCAGTAATTTTCAGTTGCAATATTTTTTGGCTTATCAGTAACACATTTGGAGATTGTATGTGGACAGTCAGTAACCTCCAGGCTTCTACATGGTGGGTTCTTTTCCCCCTTGAGAGAAGAGAAAGTGCTTTTCCTGGATGCAAGCGACCTGTCTGAAGGCGGCCAGGGTTGGCTCTGGGATGCTTATCTTGACTTGGTAGATATTGATTGAAGCCTTTACCCTTCATTTTCCTCCTGAATAACTTCGGCGGTGTATCCAAACACGTTTAACATGCTCTGACTCTTTGAATAGTAATTACATTTTATCATAGAATCTACGCAGTTTATTGAAACTGTTGCCTTCTAGTAATCATAACGGAGCTGACTTTTTCCAGGTTTAAGCAGACTTACTGTCTAGAGAAGAATAAGAAAAAGAATGTCTCATTCTGTTTTCTTTTCTTTCTAGCTTACTATTTCCTATTTCTTTCTTTCTTTCTTTTTTTTTATCCTCACCCGAGGACAGTTTTTCAGGTAGAGTGGGAGGGAGAGAGAGGAACAGAGAGAGAGAGAGAAACATCGATGTGAAAGGAACACATCGAGTGGCTGCCACCCGCACAACGACCAGGGCCGGGGACAAACTGCAACCGAGGTACATGCCCTTAGCGGGAACCGAACCCGGGTCTCTCGGGACCGCAGGCCGACGCTCTAACCGCTGAGCCAAACCGGCCAGGGCGTCTATTTATTTCATAATATTTGAATTTGCGTTTCTGATTTGGCTTATTGCCACTATACGTAGGCCCTAGATGGGATTACCTAGTTTTATGAGTAAAGGATGAATAATGCAATATCAATTTAAAGTACAAAATTAAGCTGTAGTAATAGACTACATCAAAACAGAGCAAGTTCTAACACCTGCTCTTTTATAGTGTTGGGATGCCATTATGGAAAGAAACTAATAGACTCTCTTATGACCATAGATGCTATGTAATAATAAAATAGAAAGTCAGATAATCTTGATCATGGACCTCATCAATCACTCAATTTGCAAGGGTTTACTTTTCTTCATGTCTAAAAGGAAGTTTCCTTTTCTCTGAACCCATCTTAAATAAACAATTGATAAAATGAGCATGTGTGGCCTGGCTGGTGTGGCTCAGTGGTTGAGATTTGACCCATGAACCAAGAGGTCACCAGTTCAATTCCCAGTCAGGGCACATGCCCAGGTTGTGGGCCCCATCCCCAGTGGGAGGCATGCAGGAGGCGGCCAATCGATGTTCTCTCTCATCCATGTTTCTAACTCTCTCCCTCTCCTTTACTCTCTCTCTAAAATAAATAAAGAAAAAAAATTTTAATTAGTGTGTGTGTGTGTGTGTGTGTGTGTGTGTGATTGGATAGGAATGTTTCAATTATGACTATATCTTCATGGAATATCTTGGTTCTCAACCTCTTGAATATATATCTTCATTGCACATGATACAAAGGATCCTGTCTTCTCCTAATAGAAATTCACTCATCTATGCCTTTAGTTTAGATTCTTAGTTGGGAAAATATTTTTTGGAAAATTGTCTTTAAAATTACCATTGTACTTAATCCAGTAAATGCAAGTAGTACCATGCACTCTATTTACTGGATTATATATTAAATATATCTAATGAATATGATATTCAGGTTTATGATTGCTTAGAATGTTGGAGAAGTACTTCTCTTGGTAATTATTTTGCTCTGTGAAACAAAGTAGGGTCTTTCCCTTCCTCCCTCCCTCCGTGTAAAGGACACCACAGCGTGTTCCGTTACAGCTCTGTTGTTTTTGTCAGCACACAGAAGTCAGTGATTATAATAAACATCGATGAATTTTCTACTTGCTTTCAATCGAAAGCACTTTGTATTTGTGTGTGTATATGCATAGCTCTGAATTTTCAAATAGTGATTTTTAATTATTCCAAATGAGCAGACGCTGCTTCAGTTAAGAAGCCATAGTTCTTTCTCCCGTGTGCTATAAATATGCATCTCAGCGCTTACATTTGAAATGTTTCCATAGATATTCATTCCTTTTGGTAAAAACAAATGCGGGACTCTTCCAACGGCCTCCATTTAGCTCGTGTATTTTCTGTCTTTGACGTTTTTCTGTCATTTTTATCTAGTTTTAAGTCATGAACCACTAAGACACGTGCATTGTTTGGGGTACACTGATTTGTTGTAAGAAAAATATGTTATCATAGATATTCTAGTCATTTAGTACCTAAAATAAATAATTTATTTTAACTTCAGCAGCCAAAGGACATTAGAAAAATAAAAAACAAACCAACAAAAAACTTTTGCCTCAGATATTCCAAAGTGACGATAACCTTTCCCAGGTGTGTAAAAGTATTTGGATCCTTAGGCCTGTGAGCAGTGTCTCCTTGTGAACAGTGTGTTCTGGAGCCTGATATCCTGCCTCTGTCTGACGATAGGAATTCTTTTGAGCTCCGAGTCCCTTGGAA